ATACTGTGCACTCTGAACTGCTTTCATTGCACTTCTGGTTAGATGCTAAACTGTATTTCGTTGCCTTGTAGTTGTACATGGGTAATGACAATAAAGTTGACTCTAATCTAATTTAATCTAATAAAGTATGTACATTATAGCAGTACTGCACATGTCCGTTTGTAATTCAGATCCACCAAAAGAAAGGTCTTTTCAGAGACAATGGAAGTGAGCGGCAGTCTTCTTCACTTGTGATGACATGTAGTTATGAGCTCTGTAAAACCTAATAAATGCTAAATCCATCCAGTGAGGCCAGATGTGCTAATGGCTTCCAGAGAGATCCGGAGAGACTGTCCAGCCTGAAGGTAGGTAAGTGAGCACTGCTGTTTCACTTCCTGCACTTTAATTGGAACCAGACGAAAGGAGCCCCCCCTCAGTTTACTCTTAATTGACTTAATGGTTGAATGGTGCCCTGCCTGGCTGGAGCTGGGGGGGAAAGCCTCATTAGCACTTCGCTTTTCACCAGGCCTACCAAACAAATCATCAGTAGTTGAGCAGACAAATGTGCTTCTTAAAGACTCTAAAGGTTAATTATGGATCAGTTGACCACATTTTGAGGTTTATTACACCCATTTTGACTTTTTGAGAGGCTTTTGATCCATGTTAGTCCTGATGCAGACACTTTATACTTAGTCCACATCAGTCTGGGTGAAAAAATCTGGTGTAAATCTGTATCTCTATAGTCTGTGAATCAAAACATAACCAAATTTTAAAAAAAAGGGTTAGCTCGTCTGTGGTTCAGGAGTGTCACCATATTCTAATTTATTGAGATAGTGATTTGGTGGGTTTTTGTTAAATGTGGGCCAAAATCATCACAATTGGTGATGAGAGCAAGTTTCAGATGAGAGCAAGTTTTGTATTTCATTTGGAAACCAAGGTCCTAGAGTCTGGAGGAAGGGTAGAGAAGCTCATAGCCCAAGTTGTTTGAAGTCCAGTGTTAAGTTTCCACAGTCTGTGATGGTTTGGGGTGCAATGTCATGTGCTGGTGTTGGTCCACTGTGTTTTTTGAAAACCAAAGTTACCGCACCTGTTTACAAAGAAATTTTAGAGCACTTCATGCTTCCTTCTGCTGACCAGCTTTTTGGAGATGTTGATTTCATTTTCCAGCAGGATCTTGTGCCTGCTCACACTGCCAAAAACACCAAAAGGTGGTTAAATGACCATGGTGTTGGTGTGCTTGACTGGCCGGCAAACTCACCAGACCTGAACCCCATAGAGAATCTATGGGGTATCGTCAAGAGGAAAATGAGAAATGAGAGACCAAATAATGCAGATGAGCTGAAGGCCACTGTCAAAGAAACCTGGGCTTCCATACCACCTCAGCAGTGCCACAGACTGATCACCTCCATGCCATGCCGAATTGAGGCAGTAATTAAAGCAAAAGGAGCCCCTACCAAGTACTGAGTACATATACAGTAAATGAACATACATACTTTCCAGAAGGCCAACAATTCACTAAAAATGTTTTTTATAGGTCTTATGAAGTATTCTAAATTATTGAGATAGTGAATTGGTGGGTTTTTATTAAATGTGGGCCAAAATCATCACAATTAAAAGACCCAACAGCTTAAACTACTTCAGCCTGTGTGTACTGAATGTATATAATACACGAGTTTCACTATTTGAGTTGAATTACTGAAATAAATGGACTTTTCCATGATATTCTAATTTATTGAGATGCACCTGTACACCTAGCAGCACCACTAGGCCAGAGCTCACTAACATGTTTTTATCTCTGTAGCTAAATGCTAATGTCAGCATGCAAACATGTTCACAATGACAATGCTGAAGACATCAAAACTCAAGCAACATGCAGTATGTTGAACAACTTTATTGTGAGACCAACACATTTTGCCTTATGGCCTCTGTCAGGGTCTGTTAAAAAAACAATACTGTTAGACTCAGTGCATACTGGGACAGTCTCCAGCTCCATGCAAAACTAAACAGCATAAACAAAGATGTAGAAAAAGAAACAAGTCTTAAAAAAAAAAAAGTTTGCATTGGCCCAAAGAAAACATGTAGACAGACATTACCATTTCTCAAGATTTAGTACAACCAGCTTAGACCATTGTGAGTTCTGATGCTGTCACACATGGGATCTATTTACTAATTATTCCTCTCATTATTTCATCATAATGGAGGCACACTGTGGAGTGCACGACGTTAATATTTAGACTCATTTGCCCAGTTAACGACCTACGCCTTTCCTCCGTTTTTGATTAGTTTGGACAAGTCAAGCAGCCCAGCTCCAGTACCGTGTGCAAGCCAAGTCTGTTACACTGAAAAGCTGTCTTAATTATTTTATATGTCGCATTTGATTTCACTTACACAAAGGGTGAAAAGAACATTTTATTTTGATAAGTTCTTAAGCCCTAGTGTACTGATAGCTGCTCCTTAATTAACAAGGACTTTGTGATTTCCCTCCTTTTTGTCTTCATAAAAAATTTGGATGATTTAATGCTCTGTGCCCAGGATTTATGAAACTCAGAGAAGGCCTAACAGCCAGAATGGTACAACATGAAAGGAAAAATGCATATTTGCTTTTTTTCTGATGAGAAACCTGACACCAATCTCATGTCTGTATGTTAAATATGGAGCTGGTGTCAAGACGTGATTAGCCTATCTTAGCATAAAGACTGGAAGCAGGGGGATAGCTAGCCTGGCTCTGTGCAAGGATCTGTGTTTTGTGTTCAAAGGTACACCCACTAACACCCTTTAAAGCTCATTGATTAAAACTGTCTTTCTCATTTGTATAAGCTTAACTAAGTCTTACAGGGAATTTTGTACTGGAATGATTGAACTTTAAAGCTGCATCATTTTCAGAAAACCTAATTGTTCTGTGACGAGAGCTTTTCATCCCACTCATCTGAAACATCTTAGATTATTAATTGTACAAATAAAATTCTGCTGTTTCTGATTGTCTTGGTGGGATACATGAACTCACCCATGTGCAAAACCTGGATGTATTAAAATTGATTGAACCAAAATGATACAAAGACAATATTGTTTAAGGTCTAAAATAAATAGATAAACAAATAAATTTTTAAAACTCAGTGGGGTCTCTTGTTTCCAGTAAGTAAACATAACTTTTATTTACAAGAAAACTCCACCAGAACCCTACATTTGTGTTTATTGTATCAACCCACTATACTAATATGTCCCCTCAAGTTCAGTGGTGAAATCTCAAAGTGCAGTGACATCATTACCAATATGTCTAACAGAGCATGAATCTCAAGATATCAGAAATCAAACAGGATTTAAACAAGCTAAGATTAAATTCAAAGGGTGTGCACTCATAAATGGAGCTACAGAATTTACATACTGTTATGCCAACTCTTTTACAGTAGTGACTTATATCATAATATCAAAGGAAAACACCTTTAATATTATATTAAATCACTCCCTAGTTTACTTATTCACTGCTCTCTATATAAAAACACTCCATAGTTCACTTTGCATTGAGCAGAAAATTCAGATTTTCCATTTTCCATTTACTGATAGTTTCCACACTTGCTTTGTGGAGAGTCGGCCTGTAAATCACTGAATTTTAGGGGGACAACTTGGATTAAGGTCAGTAATTAGGCTAAGGTTAGGTTTAATCTGTCAGCATTTATATATATAGCACTTAAACACAACAAAATGTTGACATAAGTGCTTGGTGGCAAAGTAACAAAATCAAAAACACAATATACATACATAATATAGAAGATTAAAAAGTTTAAAAAAAACAACTCAGTGTTTAGGCAAGTAGTGGTTATTAAGGTTAGGGTGGGTTTCCAGGAAAGGAATGAAAGTCAGTGTAATGTCTGCAAATTCTCAGCCATCAATACCTCCTGCTCACCACCAGTCAGACAGAACTGATGAAGCCTCTTGGATGAGGGGTGAAACGTCTTCGACCTAAAACCAAGTACAGTTGAAATTTTTTTCAAGTCAATGTAATATCCCCATGAGGGATGAAAACAAACATGTGGATGTGTGTATTTGTGTATAAACACAGTTTTAAATGTACCTAAAAGATGACTCAAATAAAAATGCAGTAAGAAGAATGAATGGCTTTATTGGTAAATGTACATATTGTCAATGCAGTAATATAGCCTAGGTCTGCAGGTTAGTACTTTTGATTTGTTGAACTGTCACAACTACTATTTCCACTCCCTTACAAAGGAGAACTTCCCAAAAATGAGACTGATCAATCTGACAAGTCTTGACAAATGGCTTCTAGTCAGCCATTAGGCCTGTGGTGGTGTTATAGTGCCATCTAGTGGTGGTCTCATTTCAACTTGAAAGATATTACTCTAAAACCTTTCAGTGTCTAGATTCACAGATGCCTGAAGATTGTTTAGTTAGCTTTTTAATGAATTTTGGGCCATGAGAAGCTGTACATAGACAACTTTTGATATTCAAGCACTTAACTTTATAACCCCTGGCAAGTTTATTTCTTTTAACTGAATCTTTTGAGCCCTTTAAAATGTTGATTGGCGGGAACGCTTTTAAACATTAATAGCTGAAGGACAAACTGCAGCTGTGCTCTAGAATGACTATCATCTGTAATGGCCAAGTATTAGTGCACATACAAGAAATTTGACTCGGTGCAGAGGCAGCGTGTTTAATTTGGAGATTCACATTTAGACCTACCTTCACTGTTCACCATTCCTTTTATAGCCACCTCACTTTGAAAGCAGGTATCTAAACTGCCCCCATAATAGAATAAAGCCATCCATACATTACAATATGAAATGTCGACTGTCCCAGTCCAGTCTTTATTCAAAATCCATAAAAATTCAGTTCATGTCAGTCCAGTGGTACACTGTCAATACATGCTTTACAATTCATGCAACTACGACAGCTAGCAACACTTAAGATGGCTTCAAGCACATTTTATATGAAAGCTGTGGTTTTTTTGTTAGAATGACATGAATTCTTCTCAAGTGGGAATATTAAAGCAAAACATCTCTAAACTGGGGTAGCCAACTGATTTTATTTGTAGAAAATGGAGATCATGAACAGGCAAGAACTGAAAGCACAAACTGCAACTGCCCAATAAGAGCTTTATTAAAACACCACTTTAAACATGGGAATGCCACAAAAGCAAATTTCAAACCGCAACACCAGGACAAAGGCCAAAACAAAAAAATGAGCTTCTCTGAAGCCACTTTAAAATACCCCAGGTGAGTAAATGCAAGCCCAACCATACAAATAACTCCTAAAGGTGTTCTAATCTAAGACATTTAACCACTTGATGCAGGCTTCATCCTGAGATGACACGGCTTCTAGAGCACTTCAGGTTATACGGTCTTCTGCTGGCCCTTCTTTCCAATCAGAGACTTGTGAATGTGAGGGATCACACCTGGAAAACAAAGGACAATGGAGTCATTAGCCACCTTTTCTATCAACATGCCATTTTAAGTCAGCAGTAAGGGGAAAAACAACTTCAACCAAAGACTTTAAACATTAACAAAAATCAAGATGCCATCCAATATTGTCATATTTCCCTCTGGAAAGTTAAACTTCAACTTAAAATGTCTAAAAATCATTACTTATAGCCCAAGATGTTTCACTTTCTGCATAACAAATCAAGGCCAGTTGTCTAAGCTGTAAATCAACCAAGTATAAAAAACTTAAAGGGCCCATGGCACGTTTTTCCTTGTTTTCTGACAACTGTGAATCATCATCTTAGACATGACCTCAAGCTAAAAAAAAAAAATTTAGGTGTACATATGTTCTAGTACTTCTATGCAAAAGCAACTGTTTATACACGTCTCAAACTCTGACATTTTAACTAAATAAATTACATGATAGTTTAAGGGTCTCCTTGATTGGTCATAATCTCCAGGCAGTTGCACATTCACATGAGCTTGCTTGACATCCACCGGCATCATTTTAAAAGTCTTGGAATGTTCATGTACAGGGACACATTATACCTGACCGGGTCTAACCTACAAGCAGCCAGCCAATGAAGCCCCTGCAGGAATAAATGATCAGCTCATCAACACTGGATTCCCCTGGAGTACAGTACCCGTTTGTTTTGACTGCTTGAGGCCAGCGCGTCTGCAGCATGTGATGTGTGCTGCCGGTTAATGAGAGGATTCTAACGATCCATGATGTTACTGTTGCGCTATGCTACCTGTTGGAATTAATTTCACTACTTTGGAACTGATGTGTTTTGTGTGTGGGGGGGAAGACAACCAATGACTGGATTTACCAATCCTGAAGCTACTTGAAAGGGAGTGATGTTTCCAATACTAGGTGGGACGTAATGGCAAGTTAAAAAACCCCACAGGTTGCATGTCTGTTAATGCCTTCTTTCTGTAATGTTAGAGAGAATTGTTGTAAGGCTGGAGAAGTTAGTATATCTGCATTATGCCAATTAAAATATGGGCTTTCTCAATTACCTGCTTTGTTTAGTGTGTTACAAATCTCTTTTCATCTTTATGTATACCGTTGTTACCCATCTATGGAAAAGGAATTAGCTGTTGCAGTTCATTGTGCTGTCCACTTTTGACAAGAACTGTGCGCATTCACAAGCTATCCTCTCGTTTTTAGGAAGATGCTCTTGGGTTTTATTGTTCTGAAATAAGACTATTTGAAGTTATAAGGGGCTCAAAGCTAATCTAGAGGTACCCAAGATTAAATATTATATGGCTGGAAATGCGCAGGTCATGGGCTCTTAAAAATGTGTAGCTTTCAATGCCACCAAAGTGAATAAGCTTTCTTACCTCCACCAGCAATAGTGGCCTTGATAAGTGAATCCAATTCTTCATCTCCTCTGATAGCCAGCTGCAAGTGGCGTGGGGTTATACGCTTCACTTTAAGATCCTTCGATGCATTTCCTGCCAACTCCAGTACCTGAAAGAAAGCCAGGCTTTACATATTGACATAAGCAACAATAGTAGCTCTCCAAATGAGGTTTGGATAGTTTCCAACAGCAAGTCGAAAGGTAACTGGGGTTGGTGTTACCTCGGCAGTGAGGTATTCAAGAATAGCCGCGCTATACACCGCTGCTGTGGCCCCCACTCTGCCGTGGCTGGTGGTCCTCGACTTGAGGTGTCTGTGGATACGACCCACTGGAAACTGCGGCGTTTAAAACAAGAACGGCCATAAATGAAGAGAAACAAAGGATTCACTGGCCTGTCGATGAGAGCCGGCGGCCAGCAGTGTAACCATCTGGTCAGATTGTGTTAGCATTGCCGAAACGACGAATGAACTGAATTTATTTCAGACAAACCTGCAGTCCTGCTCTTTGCGAGCGTGAAATCGCCTTCGTCTTGGTCTTCCCAGAGTCTTTACCTGCTTTACCACCAGCCTGGAAAACACAAACTGTTCATGACCTTACACGCGTTACACCACATATTGCCGTGGAAAAAATACGACAACTAAAGATGGGCAACCTTAAAGGTCCATGTAGCATTCTCTAGTCACAGTATGGTTTGCCGAATACCAATGGCGCTAAGTTAACAGCATGCTAAGCTAGTACAACAGCTAATGCTAACGGCTAACAGTTAGCAATTCACTCAAATTCACCGGCGGACATATACTACCAACAAAACGCTATCATACACACTCTGACGTTTTGATATATTGCTAAGACAAAATAAAACACGTACCATATTTAAAATGCACAAGTTATTTCCGACGCTATTGCACAAATTCGAGCGGCTCTGTGGCAAATACCTACTACTGGTTTGAATTACAACACGCGCCTACGACTGTCTCTAATATATAGCATATCCGTATCCGGGTAACTAAAAAGCGCATTAACCAATCATGTTTCATTATGTGTTTTCTGTCATGACGTTTAGCCAATGAACGAGAGTATATTTCCGCTCAAAATAATGATGGGTAATGTAGTTCTGTTATATACTCCATTCCCATCGCTTTTATTCCTTCATAAAAGATCCGTTTAGTATTAATTAGGCTTATTTCACACCCAAGTTTAATATTTTTCTTAAATTAGAAAAGAAACACACAAATATGTGTGTGTGTGTGTGTGTTTAATAAAAGTATTTCAAGTAAAGAATCTGAATAAAGGCTTCTGAATAAGTGCAAATAGTTTAAAAGCTGTGGGGTAAACGGTTTTAACTTAGTTGTACTTTATCAAATGTGCAATATCTTTGTAAAAATGTTGTTTTAAAAAAGTTCCCCCCTCCCCCCCATAAAGTTGCTGCAGTTCATTCTGGGGAGTTGCTACTTCACCCCTTTTATTGCATTTTTGTAATATTTAAGATTTTAAACATTATTTCCTGGAAGAAGCCAGTGTTCATTTTCATCCTTATTCTTCAAAACTGTTTGCATTGTTTTCGTTTAAAAACCAACAAATATATTTATTCATGATTTCAATATTATTTGCTGTTCAGTATAGTTGTTGTCTGGTGTACTGTCAAAGAAAAGTTTCAACAGGCATAATTTGTCACTTGTGTTAACAGAGTGGGATATTCAACAAACAACAAGAGCAAACGCATTTGAAAAACACTGCTAAATTACATTCAAAGCTAAAATAAATATTGTATTATAAAAATTCTGGCTAAACACTATTTTATATATGTTAACGCTGGTTTCACAGTATCAGTTCTTAACTGTGGCCACATGAGGGCGGTGAATGCTCATGATTGTACATGTTGTCTATGTGTTCTGAATAACACTGTAACGGCCATCAACTCTACTCCACTAATTATGTCACAAATTATAGTATTAAATGTTCTGTCTGGTTTTTGGTACAGAAAGACTTGACAGAACAAATATTATTAATTGAGGCATTATAACTCTTGAGTGCTGACAATAAAGATCTTTTAATTATACACATTTTTAGGTCCAGAGGCAAATAAAAAATCTAATGGATCATGGAAATTGAACAAACAAGCAAGCAAACAAACAAACAAATGTAAAGAATAGCACTTTTGAGGCACCAAGCAGAATTTATTTTGGGGTCCTTGGAGATTGCAATGCCCCTAACAAATGCTTTCTATTTTTAATCTTCCTGATAGAGTAAGTAAGTAAGTAAATTTTATTTATATAGCACTTTTCACAGAAAGAATCACAAAGTGCTTTACAAAGTCAAAAGATAATAAGACAAAACAAAATAGTAAAACAATAAACATAAATAATATAAATAAAACCTAAAAGCTACTCAAATAGCACAAAACAATTAATAAAAATGAATAAACCCAATCAGTTAAAAAAAAAGTCTAAATAAATGTGTCCTCAGCTGTTTTTTAAAATCATCGACAGCCATACGTAAAGTCAAGGGCAGGGCATTCCACAGTCTTGGAGCTACAGCCTGAAAAGACAGGCCCCCCAGAGATTTAAAATGGGTTTTGGGGACCAACAAGAGGGTCTGATGGAGGTGCTATACTAAATTGTTTGAGTCCTTTTTAAATGCAGCAGGTTTGGAACCACCAGAAGGATGCTTCCTAGAGTCGACTGTCCAGTCAGACTGGTCAGGGAGGTGACCAAGAACCCAATGGTCCCTCTAACACAGCTTCAGAAGTCCTCTGCTGAGATGGAAGAACCTGCCAGATATGATAACCTTCTCAGCAGCTCCTCATCAATCAGAGCTTTATGGAGCTGAAAACCACTTTGCCCAGAAGTCTTATGTCAACCAGTGCTTTGAGTTTGTCAATAAGGCATTTAAAGAACACCGAGAGGAAGAAGAGACAAAAACTGTGAGCAGAACTCCAAGCATTATGTCTGCTGGCTCTGCTGTACACAAACATTGCTCCTCACCTGACTTCTTAGGGTTAAACTGAAGATCTGCCTCTTGACTTGGAGACCCTGAGAAGTGGAACACATTCACTTCCCATCTGAGACCTTTACATCCACCCTTGCCCTAACCCTCTCCCAGTGGCTTCATGGTGTTTTATATTTAGCTCTGATGTTTTTGGAAAAAGGCCATTTATCACTTATTTCTGCTGACTAACACTGTCACCTCCAGACAAAGCTCCCAGCCTATTTTGAAAAATGTAATGTATTGTATGTGTAAACTTGAAATTTCTGTTCCTTTTTCTGTTTATACATTGCTAATTTGGTTCATAAATAAAACTCAAGGCCCACTTACTAGTTTTGTTGTTGCTGTTTTAACACATCTTTAAACCTAAGGTTTTTTTGTTTAGCACTGGTTAATTTACTAACTATAACTCTTATGTCACTCTTACAAAAATGATGAAAAACATAAGTAATACAAAGAAAAATAATACTGATCATTTTTCATGTATTTGATCAATATTCTCTGGTATATAAACAAAATGGATCAAAAACTGTTAAACATATTCAGGTTATTTTTACATCTTCAAAGTGAGTTTACCCATTGTCTTTAGGGTAGTGTGAGACATACATGAGTATTTTATTGATTTAATACATTATTGATTTTAGTTGATTTATATGAGGCAGCAGTGGAAGGACAAGGGACTGGTGAACAGCTGAAACCAGAGAGATTTCAGTGTCCTTTCCATTCTGTTTTACGGCAGAGTTAATGTGTAACAAGCTCCAGTCAGGGTGTCTGTGTGGTCTTGTTTATATATGTATACTTGTGGGGATAGAACACTGGAAGAAAACTGCTTTGCAGGGTCCAGAAGTCACTTGTGGGGACCAGAGGCTGGGCCCCACAACTAACTCATCAAATTTTACTAAAATGACAGGGTGTAAGGTTAGAGCAGGTGTCAGATTTGGTTACGGTTAGCATAGGTCTCCTGGAAATGGATGTAAGTCTGTGTGTGGACCCTGTTCATTTTTTTTTTTTTTTTTGCTACAGAGTGAGGACATTTTTGGAACGTGAGGACATTGTGGTTGGTCCTCACTGAAACAGCTTTTTGAGGGTGTGTGACTATCAGACAGCATGCACAGCTGGTGGTGGGCTGGTCATGTCTAAATCACATACCAGTCATTCTCAGGCATACTCCCCTTTCAGTACTCACTCCCTCACTTTCTCCCCCAACCTTTTCCTCGATCATTCATTCACCTCCCCCTCTTTCCTCAAGCACTGTCATTCACTTCTCAGTCTCTGCCACTGAGCTTTAATGAAGTGTTTCTGAGGGTTTTGAAGTCTTTTTTTCTATGGCATTCACCATCTCTCATCTGTCAGAGTTTCTCTACTTGTGGCTGTTCTTTCTTCAGGTCACTCACTCAGTGTTATCAGAGATCAGAGCTGAGTAAAAACTTTCCGCAGAACGCCGGTCATTAGTTGAACTTTGAATTTGATGATAAACCACCGATGTCAGTGAACCAGGCACAGAGGGGGAACCAAACGCCTGTACCAGCAAATGCTATATCTGTAGGGCCTTCCAAACATGATGTCGAGATATTCTGTACTGCTGTTTGAAACTACTACAGTTTTCTCAGTGGCTTTAGTACATGTCTTGCATCTGAAATATATATGTATATATAAAGCAAATTTGGATTCTTTTGAGCAAATTACAAATTCTCTGGCACATTCATGCACATGATTATGTACAACTGCCTGCTGTTTCCTGCATTATAAGTTGCTTATGTCATATTGATCAAAATGTATTACACTGATTCTCTGATTAGTCTGACCTCCCAAAACATGTACTGTAGGCACTAGTTCATTGCAGAAGTCATTACATGCAAAATGATTGAACCAGGTGTTGTAACCACATTCCTATATATTTCTATTAGACTCTTTTTATTAAACGTGTCCTGAATTGTTGAATTGCTCTCAGGTGAATCTTGACTTTGACTAATGAAGGGGGATGTGTGAAGCATTAGATCAACCTGTTCTCTAAACCAGCTCAGAGGTGCATCTCATGAACCTTCAGTTGGTAAGAATATCTGCTACTACCACTACTACTTCCGGCTGCTCCCGTTAGGGGTCACTACAGTGAATCGAGTTCGCGTGAGTAATTTGGCACAGTTTTACGCCAGATGCCCTTTCTGACACAACCCTCTCTATTTATTCAGGCTTGGGACTGGCACAGAAGTCACTGACATGAAACCCCTGTGGGGCACTCCTGGGGGCAATTTAGAGTCACCAATCAACCTAAGCTGCATGTCTTTGGACTGTGGGAGGAAGCCAGAGTACCTGGAGAGAACCAATGGAGGCACAGGGAGAATGTGCAAACGCCACACAGAAAGGGTCGAACCTAGAACCTTCTTGCTGTGAGGGGACAGCGCTAACAACAACGACGCTGCTGTGCTGGCCAAGTTGACAAGAGTATACAGTGCTTATAAAAGGTATTCACCTCCTTGGATGGTTTACAGTTTTAATGATTTTATAAATCAATCATGGTAAATATAATTAGGCTTTTTTGACAAATAAAATTACACAGAAAAAAATTACACTTTAATGTCAAAGTGAAAACAGGTTTCTACAAAGTAATGTCAATTAAATAAAAATATGTAATGTGAAATAAGTGACTGCATAAATATTCACCCCCATCAAGTCAGTATTTAGTAGATGCACCTTTGGCTGCAATCACAGCACTGAGTCTGTGTGGATAGGTCTCACTCAGGCTTGCACATCTGGACGCTGCAATTTTACTTCATTCTTCTTCTCAAAACTGCTCAAGCCCTGCCAGGTTGCTCGGGGATCGGGCATGAACAGCCCTTTTCAAGTCCAGCCAAAAATTCTCTATTGGATCGAGGTCTGGGCTTTGACTCAGCCACTCCAGAGCACTCACCTTGTTTTTGTTAAACCGTGTATGCTTCGGTCTATTGTCTTACTGGAAAATAAATCTTCTCCCAAGCCGTAGTTCTCTTGCATAAGAGACATAAGATTGTCCTCCAGGATTTTCCTATATTTTGCCACAATCATTTTACGCTCTATCTTTCCAAGCCTTGCAGGGCCAGCTACTGAGAAGCATCCCCACAGCATGATGCTGCCACCACAGTGTTTCACAGTGGGGTTGGTGTGTTTGTGGTAATGTGCAGCGTTTGGTGTCCACCAAACATAACGTCTTGTCTGATGGCCAAAAAGCACCATTCTGGTCTCAACACACCAAAGAACTTTCTTCCACTTGACCATGGAGTCTCCCACATGCCTTTTGGCGAACTCTAGTTGAGATTTACTTATTATTCATAAACAACGACTTGAGGACTTGCCATTTGAGGACACTGACATTTGTTGAATATTTACTTCTGAGAGATAAACTAAGGATTTTGAGCAAGTTACGGGTTTTTTGCAGCTAATGTATTGTGTCGTGCTATTTGTACGAATTGTTTCAAGAAATGCACTTACTGTTTTGCATGTTGTATGTTAAGTATTATTACAGAAGTGTACCAAAGTAATTGAGAAAAATGAAATAATTCCCTATAAGTCCCTACATTATAGAGGTCCCCCAGAAACCGGATCCTGTTTTCATACCACAGCTCGCTAAAGACAGGGGATTTATGTATGACTATAGAGCTTTGAGTTTAGCCAGACCTCAGCTGTTAAATCCAGGCAGGGGTTACATTTAAAAATGGATGCTACCCTCCTCCGCACACATTTCAGGTGTGAAACTGAATCTGAGTTATTTGGTAGCAGTTCCGCTGGAATTGGATACAGTCCATAGGGTGGCAAGGAGTGCTGTCGGGATCAAACCAGAGCAGGCTCTTTCAGTGGGAAAGGACCAAGCATCAGCCTGAAAATGCCTGGTGGTATAGCACCAAATTCAGTATGTTTGGCCCACTGCAAGTCGACCAGCCTTTGCAATTTACAGAGCTTCAGTTTAGGACATTTCAGAGAAACTGATTATAGAAATTGTAAAGATTTTTAACAGTTATAACTGGGTATTTTAGGTGAGAGTCTGTGTAAAGTTTAGTCAGTTCAAAATCAACTCACACAATGAGGCAGAGAACATTATACCTAAATATTTCAAGCCCTTTTGTGGCCCTGAAAATGTTCTCACTGAGAGAGAGACTTTGGGCATCCTGCTGTTATAGATAGATAGACCAATTACATTTAGGTGTGACCTCTGCCACCCCACAAACACTTCTGCACCAGTCTAAATCAACCATTTTGTGTGTGCTTGTACACATTAGTTTCAGTGATCCTATTTTGAGTTTGATATGTTAACGACAGCATCCAATACTGTTGCTGCTATAGTTTATGGAGTTGAGAAAGGACTAATAAATGTCCCATCTATCTGCACCTGAGAGAGAAGTGACCTGAAACCACTAAGGTCTCTACAACCCACTTAGGGATAGACAAAATAGATGGGGCAGGAAGAGAGGGAGAGGTCAGAGGAAGAAGGGGTGGACAAAGAGCATGAGAAACTGTAATGTCACTACGCCTGCTGGGACTCAAGTAGAAATAAAAAGACAACAGAAAAAAGTGTTTGCTGGGAAAAGAATCCAGACCTACTCAACTGGAAACTAGATTACTGGGCCACTTAAATAAATAAATGATGTAATCAGTGTGAGATAGGAAGCCATTTTTATTGAGACAGAACACACAGTGCACAATGAACCAATTTATTGGTCTAATCTAAAGTAAATATGACCGCCAGCCCCATGTGGGACATTCAACACTGCTGTTTGGTCTGAGTGTAAATTGATGACATCATCCAAAAAGCATGCAGATCAATGAAGTGCATGAATATTCACACTCATTATGAGCAAGCATGAGTATCAGTCATTGCTTTTGTTTAAGCTCACGTGTCCTTAACAAACAGTTCGATCATGTTTGTGTGTTCAAGTGCGTGCTGCAGTTCACTTTTTGTTTCCTCTTGTGTTTGTATTACTGTAAAATCAGGTGAGCCACAATGGGGGAGTTCATAAAGTCTTAGCAGAAGTAGGTTAGGCAGTCATTAAAATCAACCATAAATAGTTGTATTAAGGCCTATATGCCACACAATGCCTCTTAACTGTTTACACAACATTATCAGTTATCACGAAACCAGTGAGACTTATTTTCTTCAGTGTTTTACCGCATAAGGCAAAATGAATGCATTGATTATTTTGTTAATTTAATTCATCACAATAGATCATCAGTTAACATGACCAAAAAACAGTACAGTATTAGTGGCCCTGCAAAATATTCCTCCTCTCTAGATTATAGATTCATAAGATGGACAAAAAAAGGAAACCTCAAAACTGCAGACTAAGCAATATCACAACATCCCCATGGGTGGGGGAGGTATTATGTTTTCGTTATAATCTCATACAAATACACTGGATAAAATGAGTTTGCGAGTGACTGGTAGTGGATTTTACAAGTGCATGTAGTGAAAGTTAACCCCCCCATACACACACACACTAGCTGTGGTCGCAGCTGGGCAACTAGTCTGCCAGGACTTTGACAGATGGCCCAATGGGATGCTGGAGAGGGAGTGAGGAAACAAGGGCTAAAGGGAAGGATGGATAGAGGATGGAGGGGAGGGCACCATGCAAATGATGCAGAAGTGTGTGCATGTGTGCGTGCCTGTGTAGGAGGGGAGTCATCTGTTCCTGAATGAACAGAGGAATAAGAATAAAGGTTATAAAGCTCACAGGAGGCAAGAGGGACAATGTAGTCCTGCTGACACTGCATTCGCACATATATGGATCGTTAAACACTCGCATATATAGACATACAAACGCACATAAACACTCTGTGCACTGGGTGGTACTTCCAAATACTTTATTCTGAGTCATTTTATCTGGTAATTTTTATTCTAAGGTAAAAAAATAAATAAAGCTAAACAACAATTTCATGAACTAATTCAATTAGTAGTCATGAGCTTTCATGGATGATAAATGTGACTTTAATTTACTGACTACCACCTCATTGTGCACACATCTTTAAGTTTAGTTATTGTTTTGATTATGTCACATAAAGTGTCTGTACTGGATCTAAGTTTATTTGTCCTGATATTCAAGTTACACTGAATATACAAGCAGAGGCCCCGCCCCAATACGGTGTCCAAATGTGGCCACGCCCACACACCCCTCACTACCTAGCGCTGACTACATCCTTCCGAAAACCACACTTGAAAGGCTGGTAAAAACAAAAACCTTTTCTAATAGTTCCGGTTGTTACTTTCAAAATAAAAACCGCCTCAAGTAACTACTCTGAGGAGAAAGTGAGGAAATACATTTATAGCAGATTACGTAGCTGTTTATTAAGAATTCAGTTAACAAGTTTTTTTTTTGACTTCCAGTAAACTAAAATATCAAAATATCTGTAGTAACAACCACTAAGGATAAGGATAATCACCTTTATTTGGCCAAGTATGTTACACACACAAGAAATGTGGGTCTAACCATCGGGGGCAACTTGGGGGTTCAGTGTCTTGCCCAAGGACACTTCGATACGTGGACTGCAGGCACCGAGATTCAAACCTCCAACCCTTCAGTTTTTTAATTATTAAAAACGAGTTTATTGACTTTGCTGTGAAATTAGTATATTCATTTCTTATTTCTTTGTCTTATATAGACTGAAACGTTTTCAGGAAATCTTTGTGAAAATTGAACACCATACTAAATTAGCTGTCACAGAATTTTGTAACTATAATTTGAAGTTATCAAGGTTTTAAGAAAAGTTTTTACAGAATTAGGAAATCGATCCAATATAATGTTAGCTACTCTTTAATGTGCCAACATGAAGATCTAAATTCACAGTTCTTCTCATGCAGCCAGGAATAATGATCTGATGGTGAAATTCTGAATCTGCTGGAAAGTCCTTTAGTGCAAAAATGTTGCAATCAGTTTAAAAATGTAGAAGGCTATGTGATTCTAGAGGTTCTGGATGTGGCTTACAAATCACCCACAAAGACCAGTAAAGCCAAATAATGACCCAGTGGAAGTGTTATGGATTTGATTGGTTTTATTGCATCACACAGCATCCAAGAATCTCCAAAAGTGTTCCCGCTTCTTAACTGCATGCCATCTCATTAGGCTATATGGTATTTGAAATGTCCTAAATGTTCTTGCATGAAATTAATATTGTGGAAGTGACAAAGGCTGTTGGTTTTATTGCTTCTCAAAGGTTTATTTTGCGCTTTTATTTTGAAGAAAACACACAACCTTCCCGTATTACTGTTGCGAAATTTGAGAGCTTGATGCAACTTCCTGAAAGATTGACAGCTTGTACCGCTGTCCTTACTAGTGGAACCGATAGCTCCCGTTGTGTGAGGGAAGCAATCACGATTCACGTCGCTTACAGATTTTTCTTGGATTTAAATCTGTACTTTTTAAGACATTTAAGAACAACACCGAGTCTGGAGTATATCAAACTCTACAGGGTATGAAAGTGGAGTGACCGCGTCAAACAAAGTAAAAGAGAAGGTAGACCTGTGCGTTTGATGGCTGCTGGGGATGGAGCCCAGCTGC